ACGGAGCAGAGACTTGGACTCTTCGAGGACGCGAGCGCCGAAAAATTGATGCCTTGGAGATGTGGTGCTGGAGAAGAATGCTGCGGATACCTTGGACAGCTCATAGGACAAACGTTTGCATTCTAAACCAACTTGAGATTACTCGACGTTCCGGGGAGAAGATCAAGAGGACGGTGACTAACTAAATGGTCCAACCAAATTAAACTCAAACTGCTGCAAACTCATTCTGCGAAGTTCTCAGAGTAGCTGAAGGTAGAGAACAGGGGAGAAAAACTGTTAGGAATATTGGAAGAAATCACGATACTCAGTAATGGAGAAACGACACGAGGGGAAGAGATTATTTATATTTTAAATATATTTAATAAATTATTGTTTTCTCCTAGTGCCAGCTGCTAACGTGTCAACAAAATAAACGTTGTGTACTTCTGACAGACTCGTCAAAGTCAGAGTAAATACTAAATAATAATAAAATATAAATAAATATCATTTGATAGTAAATTTAATTATTATTTAAGTTAAATAAGATTTTTAAAAATAAAATTTGAGTATGGTTTGAAAGGAATTTATTAATATGATGACAAGAAACTCATTGATGGGGATCAGTGAATCGATGTGAACACCACTATTTCGTGGCGCTAGTACAGGACGCCAGTCTAAGCATTTTACTATAGAAAAAGTAATACAATGCCAGCATAGAAGCTTCGCTTCAAAAGTCTTAACGAGAAGATACGAGTTACGCAAGTTAAGACTAGAAAAAAAGTACGAAAGGCTACGAAAAATTAAACAATTTTGTAGGTAAAATGGAGCGATTGTTTTTACAGTATTTGCGTTATTATTTCGTAAAGGAATACAATTAGAGTTATAATAGTTGAATCGATCTGAGGAAGATTGTTTCAAAATTGTATTCAAATGACTGTAATAAAGTTTTGGACATAAAATCTTACGACAGCTATTGCACTATACGGATCTAAATCCGATTGAACTGGTTTGGGCTGCACTTAAAAATTTAGTTGGTGCAAGAAATATCAGCTTCAAATTAAATGACGTTATGGAATTATCTGATTAAATTCGCTTCAATTGAGGATACCATTGTGTCAAAAGAACCCTTTATTTGCAGTTTATGATCAAAATATAATTAACTTGGGTAACGGATGACTGGCTTATAGCTCGCATAGATTATGAAGTGAACAAGAATAACAATTTTTTGGTTTGTAGTAAGTTTTTAACGTTCTATTCCTGTTATATTCTATAAGTTTAAATTTAAAATCAACCAAAACCTTTGCGTAAATATTGTTTAAAATAATAATATTGAATACATATATTAATTTCGTAATATTCACATTACAACTGAATTTTTGTTGCAGCAACACCGCATTCGGAACAAACATGACTACAAGCTTTTTATTATTACATATTATTATTACATTTTATATGCGTACCTCGGAGGTAAAGGACACTATGTCCATTTTTATCGAAATTTAGATTATTGAACTTTTGAATATAACTTTTCTGGCTCTACACATAGGTAAACCATACTATGTCCAGAGACAATTTTACGGCAAGTTACCTACTTTTTAATAAACACCAAGTCCACTTCCAGTCAGAGGTAAACAACACCATGTGGACTTGGTGTTGTTTACCTCTAGTAAATGTGTGCATTGTCATTTACTATCCGGACATAGTGTTATGTACCCTTGTACCTGGCGGAATTATCATGATCTAAAATCATTACAACCTTTTTATTTAGATCGCAATTGTGTTAGGTTGATAAAAGTTGTACAATAAGTTCGTTGTTTAATAATTGTAAAATGGATCCGAACTCTCTTGGAAAAATAATATTACAATTACTGTCATGTAATATTCCAAATAAAACAACACTTACAGGTAAGCTATTGTTTTTTAACACTAATTTTGTATTTTTCTAACCTCAAATATTTAGTATTGTATATTATTTTGTATAGGGCTCAGAATTTTAAACTGTACATACATTTTTTCTATCTACCGTTAAAATAGAAGTATCAGTTAGTATGTTCTTGTTACTAGTAAAGAATTTCGTCTGTTTTTTTAAATGACCATAATATGGTATGATTGTTGTCAGTTATTTGTGTAACATGCACTGCCATTTATATTATTGTGTTGTCGGCATAGACAGGAATTTACCAAGCAATTATCAATATATACTCGTATGAACAAAATACTACAAGATATTGGGTAAAATTTATTTACCGTTAGGCGTAACCGGTACCCCAAAAACTATTGTTGTTGTTGATACCAACAGATTAGGGTAAACAGATGTTGCCAGATCTATAATGGAAGTAACGGAAATTGCTCAGTAAATTCCGGTCTTTGGTTATAAGGATTATTTTTTTGTTGGCCAATTATAGGCCTATAAAATTAGTCTATAATTATTATTACAAGGCTGGATTTGTTTCAGAACCACCTGGTCATTACAGTAACTTCCAAGGTAATGGCGAGGAAGTGTACGAAGATGATAATTTGTTTGGAGATAATAATTCGGATATTGATATAACTTATGAGCCTCCAAACTCAGAATCAGACAACAATGATATGAGACGTATAAGTAAACCAGCGAAAACAAAGATAAAAGGGAAAGCTATTATTACTCCTACGACTAGTGTGGCAATAACAAAAAATCTTCTTAAGGACGATTTATTCCTAAGCAGTGATGCAGGCAATTCCAATGAACATAATGAAGTTATTTTAAAAGAAGAAAAAAGTGTTAAAAGAAAGGTACAAAATGTAACTAAATGCAAACAAAAAGACAAAAAACGTGTAGTAAATGAACAAAATTGGGTCTGTAATGTTCGCAAATCAAAAGTAGCTGGTGGGAAAGAGCATCTCAGTAAAAAAGGCAAAAACATGCCTTCCAAAATGTTAAAGCTTCCTTGCATGTGTCGCATGAAATGCTCTAAAAGATTGCCAGAATACGAAAGACAAAAAATTTTCAACTCATACTGGACTGAGACAAACGTTTCAGATGTTAAAAAGCAATTTATCTTCTCATGTGTCGACATCCAACCTACTCTTCTATTAACAAAAAAAGACCTAAATTCTACCAAATCTAAAAATAATACACTACACTACCTTTTTACAGTGAACAATCAGCGAAAACACACTTTGTATATCTAATTTAGTAGTAGTAAATATGTTGAAAAAAATTGAGCCAGGAGGTTCAATAAAAGCTGATCAAAGAGGTAGACACACGCTAATCAATAAAACTCCTACCGAAACCATAAATAGAATACATCAACATATTAAATCATTCCCAAAGTGCAAGATTTATTATTCCAGAGAAAGGAGTTAGAGAGATTATCTTGGCACAGAACTTACGATAGAAAAGTTGTATCAACTATACTTTGATGAATGCAATGAAATACATGTAGATCCAAAGTTCAGAGTAAAAAAGTAATTCGACGCAGATTTACCAGACTTGGAAACCCGAAATAGACACTTGAGATACATGCAGTACATTCACAGCTCAATTGAAAAATAATCTTACTGCAGATGAACTAACCAGTGTACAGGCTAATCATGATACTCACCTAATTGAATTTAAAACTCGGTATAACTTACAACAATTGGACTTTTTAATGGCTAAAGAGTCACCACAACACAAAGTGCTATCTGGTGATTTGTACAAATGTTTGCTTTCACAATTGTATTAGTTTCTACAAAAGGAAGCTTTTGTAGAAGCAGTGATTCTTCTGTACAATATATATCATGTGGGACAAATCGAAAGAGTTCCGAGGTGCAAATGAAATTGCCTCGTGAATTTTGAAATGGACTGACAATACAATTACAGGTAGTCAAGTTAGGGACATCACTCTTTGGACCGATAACTGCTATGAACAAAATAAAAATATAAGTGTTATAATGTGCTATTTTTGGAGACTGCGTACATACCCTCAAATAAAGACGATCACTCAAAAGTTTTTACTGAAAGGGCACACACATATGGAAGCAGACAGTGTTTATGCTTTAATCGAGAGAAACAAAAATAAACTCTCCAATTTGGCCATTTTAACGCCATGGAACTGGCAACAGCTAGTTAGGCAAACATCAGGTAAATACACAGTGCACAATATGGAACTTGTAGATTTTAAAAACTTCAAAACGCTGTTCAATAAGAAATTGTCACTTAATCATCCTTTTGTAAGTAGAAAAAAGAATGTTAATGAAGATCCTGTTCTACTGTCAACATGTGTTGACTCCTACAAGTCCAACAAGAACACATTGGGAAGCTCTTTTATAAGACCGATTTCAATAATCAAAATATGTATGAAGTGCACTTCATGAGGTATCGAAGACAGCAATTAACGTTTCCAGCTCAACTAAATCAAGTCTCAGTAAACCCATTACCAACCAGAAAACAAAAGTTTAATGACTTCATTACCTTACTGCCTTTTTCCGTCAGTTTGTCATGCACTTTATCAAAATTTAACACATAGCGATGTAGCCACAAACGAATACCCACAAGAAGATGAAAATGATATGGAGCCTCTTTAACAATTTTGAAACTTGTCTATAATTTTACTTTATTAACTTTTCTTAATTTAATTATTATAGCATTATAATATTTACCTCTAACAAAATAATAGTATAGGCTGTTTAGTGTATTTCTATTGTTTATTTCGTAGAGACCTTAACATACAATGTCACATTACTTAAAAAAGTTATTAGAGGTAAACAACACCATGTCCAACTACACATTTAAAAAAAAATTATAAAATGAATGGTAAACTTCAGGTAGGTACATAACACTTCATGGAAGGAAAAACGATTATACACACCACAATAATAATATATTAATCTTGGTTAAATATAAGAAATATTTGAGTATTTACTGATTAAAAATTTAAAAAATTTTAAAACTGCTCTCCTGAAAAAGTAAGAAAACGGACATAGTGTCCTTTACCCCCGAGGTACGGATATATTACAGCCACTTCTCGCTTTTCGTATGGTATTATAGGTATACTTACATTATATAACAATGTACTATTAAAATCTTGATATGATAACGTTGAAAACTGGTCGTCGTAGTTAAAAGTAATAAGATGAATAACTAGACAGAAAGCGTAGAGAAAAGCTATAATAGATATTCGTTTTTGATTCCAAAATTCCTTCAAGACGTTTTTCTCAAAGTGAGCAGTGTCTATCCTAAAAGATAAATAAACAAAATTACAAACATACAGAGTATCAGGTGATTATAGTGATTTTCATGTTCAAATTTGTCCGAAGTACGTGAACGTTGATATAAAAATTAATATTTAATATGATTATGAAGCTATTTTCTTGTATGAGAATAAACCACAATTTTGATTTTTTTTTATTTTCACTGGAAATCGTTCTCAAAATTTTCAAAACCTTCCACTTCTTCATCGGGGTCTGCTGGCTGTTTGAAATACGTTTGTAAGATGTTCAGCAAATACGTCTGCTTTATTTGTGATAACAGGCCCATTAGACATTTGGTTTACAGATGGGAGGGATAGTTGTGTATAGTTTTTTAAGCTTCTTAGTCACCTTCCATAACGTCTGATCATTTGCTGTAAGGTTTGTAATGTAATGTTCGAAGGTTCGAATTATAAGCGGCTTTGATGGCTAGTCCTCGCTGGCTAGTTGTCTACGTAGTCTATTAAATATCTACATATTATGTAGATCTATTTTGTTTCTAGATATTTGCCAGTTCTCCTCACATGAGGTTTTTCAATAATGAGTTGGCGAATGTGCAGGGGAACATTTGTGGTATGTGTTCGTTTGCGTTTAGCTCGTGGTACATTTTTGCACAAGTGTGCTGAAGTATTGAGCTGCTGTATCTATGTCATGTGTAGATTTGATCCGCAGATTAAGATTGGTGTTTTCTTCTAGGTAGGATTGAAAATCTGCCCAGTTGGTTTTTTGACGTGAGTCGAGGAGGTGGTGGGCTGTCTGGTCTTCAAGTTCATAATAATTGGTGTATGATCGGATGACAGATTTTAGCTAGATTCTATTGAACAGTTATTTCTGGACACTCATTTGCTTATGTAGTAGTCTAGAAGATCTGAAAGGTTTCTAGGGTCACTCGGCCAGTACGTAAGGATTTCGTTGGTGTAGCATACATAGTTGTTGTGGGTTATGCTTTTAGAAGATTACGACTTTTTGTTATTATGAGTCTTGAGCCCCAATGTGTGTGTTTTGCATTTTAGTCTCCCACGGCTACGAATTTACTGTCAAGTAATTGGAAGAAGGCTTTGTACTCATCTGTAGAGATTGCGTGACGACGTGGGCTATACATTGTAGATATGTTAAAGTGCCATGGCGTTGCATTCACTTGAAGGGTTGCTACTTTTATTTTTTCTGTTGCATATTTCGGTAATTTATGATGGGATATCAAGCTGTGGATGATTACCGCCGAGCCACCATGAGATGTACCATCGAGATGAGGTGTACTGTATGTGATATAGAGCGGAATATTGAACGTAGATTGGTAAAGTGAGTTTCTGAAATGAGCATAACATCGATTTTATTAAGGTTTAAGAAAATAATTACTTCCTGCTTATGGTTTAGCAGACCGTTAGCGTTCCATGTGGCAGCTCTAGGTATGTTTAAAAATTTCTGTGGTTAATCACTTGTATTAGTAAGTTTAATATCATACTATTTTGACTCATGAGTTGAGAGAACATGTTTTTGAACTTATTTAGGAAGCTACAAATATGGCAAAATTTTTCTCCTTCTTCTTCAGCCTTAAGTAATCCAACTTTGGAGATAGACCTCCCATAAATCAATCCAATGTTTTCTATTTTGCGCCACTTGCTTTCAGTTGCTCTGCTTCTCTTTCCCAACTATAGTCTCCATTATTGTATTTCGTGGTTCCATCTTTTATCCTTTAGTCGGGCATTGTGTCCTGCGAAGCTCAATTTTAATTTGGTAGCATGTTCTTCTACGTCTTTTACTTTGGTTTTGTTTCTGATCCATTTTTTTGTTTTTTTGTCGAGCATTGATCTATCCATCGCTCTTTGTGCTTTTACTATTTTATCCATATTAGACTTGGTAAGTGTCCACGTCTGTGAACCATACGTGAGTATAGGAAGGATACACTGATAGTAAATTCTGGTTTTTAAAATTTTTCTTAAGTAACTGTAAATTTTATTGCGAAAAAAATAAAAAGTGATAAATGTGAAGTATTCGATTAATTTTTTTAATAACAGCGTTGCTAAAAAATATTTTAAAACAAAATTAATAGCGTATATGGGCTCCTCTAACGGATATTTATTTACACAACGTCCAGGCATGCTTTTAATCACATTTCGAATAGTTTAAGAACTTCATTAATAGCTTGAACCTCTGCCACAAGCCTGCGTTTCTTAAATTCAAAAAGCGCTCGTCTGGTCTTCTTCAGACACTAACACGTTTATCAATATGATTTAAAAGAAATTTGGACTCATCAGTAAACATAACTTTACTCCACTGTGCCATGGGCCAATTTATGTGTTATTCTGTAAACAAGCGTCTGGCTCTACGATGTGCAGGGATTCAGGTATCAAAGGAGGTACTGTAGCTGGACTTCTTGCATTAAATCTACGTTAGTGAAGCCGATTACGTATAGTTTGAGTATTTATTCTAGTAACCGTAGCTGCTACCAACTCATTTTGTAGAGTTTAACAGTTCGCGCAGTATTTCGACGATTTCTGACTGCCCAGAGTTATAAAAGTCGATCCTCTCTAGCTGTAGTTGCCCTTGCATGAAGCGTATAAGATTGTCTTCTAATAACTCACACATTTCATGTTTGGTACAGGCTCTATATAAGTGCTAATGGAACATTATTCCCCTAGCACTTTGAATCTCTGAGATACACTATGCGCCTTCGGGGCCTTCCAAACACATCTTCTTCTTCTTCTTGTGCCACTACTATCGGAGATTGGAAATCATCAAGGCTACCCTGACCTTGTTTAAAGCTGACCTAAAGAGTTCATTAATGGTACAGTCAAACCACTCTCTCAAATTACGCAACCATGAAATTCTTCTACGGCCTAGATTCCGTTTTCCTTTTATTTTTCCTTGCATTATATTTTGAAGTAATGCGTATTTATGTCCTCTCATTAGGTGACCAAAATATTCTAGTTTTAGCACATCAAAATCCATCATTAATTCTTAACAACTTAAACGCAAATATCGACATAAATTCAATAACGGAATAAATGTGATTTGAAAGTGATGTTAAATTTTGCTTTTTTATTGAATACAAGTAAAACGAAGATAACAAACTTGTTTTTTCTTTTATTTATAAGAACTATATGTGACTACTGGGTGAACGTACATGAAGACATGAAATAAATAATATTGTAAGTGCCAAAAAATCTCATTTTTATTTTATACTTTTAAAATGTTCCAAGTACCATAACCAACAACTTATATAATGCGCTAAGTCGCCGGGTTATTATTACGTATTAAAAAAAAATTCTCAATAGAATGCGTGATTGTCAATCGCCACAACGTCGCCGGTAAAAAATGTGATTAGTGCCAATAAATATGACAGTTTCAGTACTGTTTTGATGTTGTATTAGTAAAGTTGTTATTGTTTATCTCGTTCTGTATAATCTTAAAATTATATAAGAATGAATTCTGGCACTACTTCTAGAAAGGGAAATAAGCAAAAGGAAAGGCAGACAAAAATATATGCTGGGGGAGAGTACTATACAAAGAAAAATAATAAAAAAGTTCCTGCCAAGCAGCCTCCTGAAAATAAGGTTAGTCGAATATTGCTTTTATTTTTGGGCAGTAGTTATTTAGATACTCACAGGCGACACTCACATTATGAGTTAAGCGGCTGTGATACTGCGATCTTAGGGCACTCTTTTGTCCTGGAGTTTGAGAAATCGGCTTTGAAGGCCGAGGAACTAAGACTTTTAGTGAACGGCATAAGGATGCAGAAGGCAGGGAGAAACCACTGCATTAAAGACTTCTTGAAAGTATCTCTAGTACAATTATCATGGTGATAAAAAACTTTAAGATTTCGACTACTGATCATGAAAATCGGAATTCAAGATCCGGCAGGGAAGGTAAATCTAGCTCAAACCGTGAGGCCTTCCAGGTCATTATCAAGAGAAATCCTCACGAACCAAATTACATTCTAGATGATGGATCTCTAAGAGTATTGCAAACAGCCATAAAGATAGGTACATGGAACGTTAGAACAATGTACGAGGCAGGAAAAATCTATAATGCCATTCAAGAAATGGAAAGACTCTCAATTAATATTATGGGAATAAGCGAAATGCGCTGCACATATACGGGATACCGAGTTATCAAAGATCACAAAATATTCTACTCAGGAAATCTTAAGAATGAACATATAAATGGAGTGAGCCTAATTATGAATAATAGAATCGCCAATTGTGTCAGTTACTTTGTACCTGTATCAGAAAGGATGCTCTTAGTTCAGCTAAACATAACTCCCATAAAAACAAACATTATTTAAGTATACGCTCCTACAGCGGACGCCCCAAGAATTTTACAATGACCTTACTAATATTGTCAAAAGGATTCGGAAAAACGAAATAATACTAATAATGGAAGATTTTAGTGCCAAAGTTGGCAAAGGACAAAGTGGAAATTTAGTGGAATACTTTGGTCTAGGGCAATGTAATGAACGCGGAGACCGTTTGATTGAATTTGCAACTGAAGGACAGCTCGTAGTGACAAACACCTTTTATGATCTTCCTCCAAGACGACTATATCTCCCGTGGAAATCTCCCCAGGATACTCCAGATCACACAGTACGAAATCAAATAGACTACACTTCATCTAATTTACATACCGATGCACGTCATCGGCGTCATAGCCCGTGACGTCACATGATACCAACACAAAATATTTAGGCGATAGGTGTATTCTTTTTTAGAATCACTTTGCCGAGTACACTGACATTACAGCCACTAGACATATTTTATTATATACGTGTAGAAATAATATTTAAAAATTTCTATTAATGTTAACTTAAAGAAATACACAATAATATATAAAGCGTTTTTATGAAGAACATTTGTTCGGAACACACTGTAACTGTAATCGAACGAAGGTGAAATTTTGGCATAAATTGGTAACACTTATTTGACAGTTACGGTGTTGACACTTTTTGTACTTTATTATTTTGAATTTATTTATTTATTTATTAAAGTGAA